TCACAAGCACGTGGAATGATCTGCTCAGACAGTCGCACGGAGATCTGATTTCCTTTTGGGCTGGCTGCTATGTGGCTCTCCAGTGGATGAGACCTCAGTCCAGTAGCCCTAAAGTGAGCCCATACACCTCTCTTACCCACTGATCCAGCAGCACTTCTTCACCCTCAGTCACTGAAGAGGGAAAATGAAACTGCTAACTACAAAATTCACGTGGGTAGTTGCCCAAGGTCCCTGCAAAGACTTTGAACCCCTTCCCCTTCCAGCAGCAGCCCTGCTGCCTTCTTCCACCCACCCATGTCCTCTAACTTAGAGCGTGTCCCCCCCAAATGGACAATAGCAGCTTGTTCCCATGAAACATCATCACAGGCAGATACAAGAAATAAATTCCATTCTGAAGCCAGCAAAAACGGCCCACACACCCAAAAGAAACGTTACATTCAAAGGGGGTAGCAGCTACGCCTCCGGCAGCTTCCTGCACTACAGTTCTACAGCTCTCAGTCGAGTCTCCAACTACAAGATGCTGGCAGAAGGTAAAGGGGATGTGGTACAACATGTGGCTTTGAAGGGACTGCACGGAGGCAGGCTGGAGCAACTAGGTCTCTGGGAACACAAGGCGAGGCCACTACAAGGGAGCTAAATTTAAGACTTCCAACATGTTGCAAGGGCTGGCCGACAAGTTCAGAGAGTACCTGTGTTGCACAGCATTCTCACAGGCCTCTGAAACAACAGGCAGCAGGCAGGGGTAATACCTGGAAAAGGAAGCCGAGATTAGACACCGCTGTCTTCAGTCAATGAACATTCAAGTGGAATCACTGTCAGCTCATTAAAAAAAAAACAACCCAGTAATAAAGTTGGTCAAGAGAGCAGGGAGCAATCACAGTTCAAAACCACTCGGTTATCTAGAGACTTACACTTTTATCAAGCAAGAACATCATTACTCAGAAGTAAGAGGAGCAGAAAGGTTACGATACTGCCAGCTTAAAAGACAGCCCACGTGCAGGGAAACAGGATGAGAGACAGATCTGCACATCCAGCGAACAGGGCCAGAGTCCAAGCGACAGATAAGCCACTACCATGTCACCTGCTTGCTAAAGAGTTACAGTAGGAAAACGGCAGTTACTAAGAGGATCAAAACTCCTGTTCGGCCTTCTGCGCGTCTACCCCACCAGCTGACCGCGCCAGACTGAAATAATTGTCATGCACTGGTGTTCTGCCATTAAGACTAGTGAACTGATTGCCCTAGACAGGGTTTCGCTAGCCCTGGCTGTCCTTGAACTTGCACCTGCCTTTTCAAGAGCAGAGGACAGGGTAGAGTTGCACCTTATAGACTAACTAAATCCGAGATGTATAGCATAAGCTTTCATTAGCAGAGGGCTTGCTCTGATGAAGCCCTCTACTTACAAAAGTTCACTTTATACAACTCTGATTTAGTCTATACAGTGCAAATCTCCACCTTCTGCCTATTTCAGGTTAACATGGCAAACTACCTCTCTTTTCAAGAGTGCCCACTGATATGTGGGTGCACAACTTGAAATCTCTTTTGCCCAACTGCGCATTCCCATGGCATTGGACATGCTGCGCCAGCTAAGCTCCTGCTGAGCACTGCAAATGACATGGAGCTGCCCTCCAACGGCACATTCCCACACCAAAAGCAGGGTAGTAGAAACACCTTGTGACAGTTGCCCTAGATCACCCATCACAAGAGAAGGTGCAATGCCTTGCTGGGACAGGCGAATTGGAGACAGCGCCTGAGGAAATCTGCTCCTCTCCGTGATCGGGCAGGCGTTCTACTTGCTTCTGTGCATCCAAGTCAGCAATGCCTCATCCTCTTACCTCTGGAGCTGCAACTCCATAGCTCTTAACCAGCCAGGGCTTTGCTTTGGCTCTTGATGAGAGCAGCCTTGCTTCAAGGTATGTTTCTTTCTTATATTACGACAAAAGCTCTGGCTTCTCCCAGATAGCTTCCCCTTCCTGTTCCACTTTCCTTTCGCCACTTCCTCTCCATGCTGCCAAAACGCGCCCCCTGGCCAGGCTCGAGCCGTAGTTCCTTCCCATCCCCTTTAGCCAAGAAGTCACTTGTGACTATTGGAGCAGCAGATTCAGTAAAGCTAAAGGGTGAGCAAACAGAGCATTAGCTCCTCTGTGGTGCACAAGGTCAGGGTGAGGCATCTTATCTTGCTTTCATTAGGGACAAGCTACCTCATGTTGCTGCAGCACAGCGGGCATGCGGCAGTCCCGATGGAGGAACTCCCAGCCCCCGTTTACTATGTGGTAATGTGTTCACAGAGCTGTGCCCTTGAAAACTGGTATAAGAAATATGGGCCTTTCCTATACCCTGAGATAAGATGGACAATATGCTGGGGCAAGCTGGGAAGATGGCAGTGGGAGTAGTTAAATATTAACTCATCAAAAGACAGCTGTCCAACCCACTGAAAATCTGGCACAATGTCTCTCTCTGCCTCACGCAAGGGCATAGGGACTCATGGTTCAATGTCCTGTGCAACTGCATTCCCTGCTGCCTGGCAAAAAAGTCAGGGAAGTCAAGATCTGATATTTTTACCCAGGCTAGGGGAGCAGTGGGAAGAAGGAAACAACAAAGGAGGAGGAAAAGCAAGTATCGGGGCTACCATCTTAGGATGGCTGCACAGAAGGGGAAACTGAGGGATGTGCCTTGCAGTTCAGCTTTACTGCCCACTTGGCCCTGCTGCAAAACTCAGCCGTATGCATCTAGTCCTCTCCCTTCTCCCAGGAGAGGGAAAGGGAACGACTGTAGCTTCAACCCACTGTTCGTCATCCCTTGTTGCGGCAAAGATCCCGTCCCACTGGGACAAGCGCCGTCTCCTTCTCTGGGCTCTCCCAGATTATTACTAGCCGCTGCATCATGCAGCTGGTTACTGTCAAGTGACTTGAGTCCAGGGAGTCTCAGCACACCCCGGACGCGATGGACTCATCAGGCATATGCTGCTCCAGAAGGCAGGGATCTCAGTGCTTTCCTCAGGTATTAGTCTATAATCTTGCTCAGAATACATCGTGGCAAAAATCCAAGACCGGCTACGGAGCGAGCCTGCTCCTGAACCAAAGGGAAGTCGCAGGCGCTCATCAGCTTTGAAAACCAGATATATTCCTAAACCCGTATCAGGACTTGCAGTGTAAAACGCTCCCATCTGAAATATCTGCTTGTGGATTAACGACTGCTCAGGGACTCCAGCCTCCTCTCCCCGCACCGAGGAGGATCTCCAGTGCCTCCCGCGTTCGGGCATCCCTGCGGACCGGTGGAAGCAGAGGGATTTCCCGGCCGACCCTAGCGCAGGCCTGGCCGAAACGCGCGACACCCGCTCGCGCAGAAGATCGCTTTCCTATCAGGGACACACGGGGGTGAGAAAGGACGCCAAAGAAAACGTGCGGTCCAACAGGCCCCCCGTTCTGCCACCGTCACGCCCTCCTCCCAAAGCGCGCCGACCGAGCCGCACAGAGAGCCAGAGACGCCAAGAGAAAGGCGAAGTCCTGACACGAGAGACCGTGAGCCGCCCCGGCAGGCTCCCAGACGGGCGAGGGATTTGCACGAGCGCGTCGTCCGTCCACCCGAGAGCCGCGGCGACAGAAAACCCTCCACCAGGCGAGTTGGTGCATAAACGCAACGTGTCCGTCTGTCCTCCTCCGCCGTGACTTCTGGTGGCAGGCGCGGAGGCCGTCGACAGGCAGCGGACAGGTGTCTCCACGTGGGGGGGCGCTGGGAGGCGGCGGCGCTGGCCCCGCCCCCGCCCCCGCAG